GGAATCCTTTTGCATGAATGACTGCTTCAATGCGGCGTGGCATGGAGGCAATCAGCCTGTGGCACTGCTGAGGTGTTATGGAGGCCCAGGATGCTTCGATAGCGGCCTTAAGCTCACCCAGAGTGTTGGGTCTTGTGTTTCTCAACTTTCTCTTCACAATATCCCACAGGTTCTCTATGGGGTTCAGGTCAGGAGAGTTGGCAGGCCAATTGAGCACAGTAATACCATGGTCAGTAAACCATTTACCAGTGGTTTTGGCACTGTGAGCAGGTGCCAGGTCGCGCTGAAAAATTAAATCTTCATCTCCATAAAGCTTTTCAGCAGATGGAAGCATGAAGTGCTCCAAAATCTCCTGATAGCTAGCTCCATTGACCCTGTGCTTGATAAAACAAGTGGACCAACACCAGCAGCTGACATGGCACCCCAGACCATCACTGACTGTGGGTGCTTCACACTGGACTTCTGGCATTTTGGCATTTCCTTCTCCCCAGTCTTCCTCCAGACTCTGGCACCTTGATTTCCGAATGACATGTGTAGATGAACATATATCTGTGATATATTATCCATAAATTAAACGGATTCTTTCATTTTTCTGGACTGAGTTCTATTGTGCATTGAATTATTAAATGTGACGTGAGACGTTAATTTTCTTTGACCCATCAAATGAATGTGGTCATTTATTAACAGAATCAAAGTTTAACATCAAACATTTACATTAATTTGGCAATTTGATTACAATAATAGCTTAATTAATTAGCTTCACAACTAGGAAACCATACGGCCATAGTATCCTTGCAGCTTTACAACAGACATTTCTGAAAATATCTGGATGAATTACTGGCAAGATAGAAGAGTTTTAAAGATGGGAAATTGAGGGAGTTTAAATAGAGAGAGAAGATGGATGAGGGAATATGTGTCGGTATAAGAACGGCACTCTCCATTCGAACCCAGTTTCATCTCGGTACGCTTGCTGTTGAAGATCGACTCTTTACCTTGGCAGAGGATAATTCCGACTTCGGTGTAGAGTTGCCTTTCAACGCTTTTCCAGCGTCTCCGTAGGATGGTTGGAAAACGTCCGGAGTAGTGACGGTACTTCGTTCGACACACGTTCACCTCTCGGTTGGACTCGCATGAGCTGTGAGCCCGTCAGAGTTCCACTCAGATGTGGAAGATTTCATAATTCCCACGAGACTCGGAAGAACTTTGGATCATGTCTGGAACCTCCTGTTCTCTCCAGCAACTTTCCTGTTCGGTGCTGCTCTCCGAACTGAACTGCTCTCC